CAGTCCATTGCTTTTTCTTTTAGGAACACATGATTCTATGCAGATTTGCAGATCAGACAGCTGTCCAGCTTCCACCCCAACGAAGGCTCATAGGTATGTGTTTTCACAGAGCAGCTGTTGAGTAGATTACGTACAAGATGCCTAGGAATCAATGGACCAACTCTATACGGGAAAATGGGGAACCTCTATTTTGTCCATTTATCAACAAGGCACTAAAGTTTGTTTTTCCCAGAAAAAAAAAATCTGTCTTGAAAAGGGCTCTAACTATAACAATATTTTGTCCCATTTTTGTCAACATTAATACTTTCCAATGTATTTTCAGTGTTTGTACATTGAGTAGAATTATTATGTTAAATCTTATTGTTACAAACAAACTGAAGAATCTATCAAAAGCCATAGAAGAAAATATTAAAGATGGAAAAATCAGCTATGCATGCCAAAATTGATATATTACAAAATGTATAAATAAGGATGATAATGTTTTCTTTTCAGAAAAAAGTATACTCGTATATTATTAATCATAGACCAATTTATTTGACATTTGTATTATTAAACATTACCTAACTTGGAAGAAAAATAGCATTTCAAGTTTAAGTAATGAATTTATCCAAGACTTTGCTTTAGAAAAAGTGATCACATTTGGAAGGATAATAGCAGCTAACAGCTATTGCACGTTTAAGCTCTGAGCTAAATGTCCTCCACCCATGATCTCAATAAATTCTTATAGAAATAATTATGGAGTATGTGCTGTTGTTTATATTTTATGGGTGGGAGAGCTTGCCCAGGATCCTTCAGCTGGTGGATGGTGAAGCCATACTGTAAACCCTAATTATTTGATTCCAGACATAAAACTCCATTTTTGCAATGACCCCCAGTGATAGAGTCACATCACAGGAAGGTTAGGTTCCAAAATTAGGGCTTAACATGATTAAATAAAGTCAAAACTAATCTTAAAAATTATTCAGAAAAGCCCCGCATTGGAGACCCTCATGATATAGCAGAAAACAGATTGCTGTTTCTTTGGCTCAGCAACAGGTGTAGTAATTAGCTTGCATTCAGGGACCATGTTGCATGAGAAATAGTTATCTTTAAACTGTAAACTCAAGGTCAGCATAGCAAGATAATCACAGTTGGAGAGGCATTTGAGACGTGAGTCTGAAGGAACAAGTGATTTCCTTCTTTTTCTACACCCTGGAGCATAAACATATGGAAGAAGCTTGCTCTTTCCTGCATGCAACCTCTTTCATTCTCTTTCCCTCTTCCTCCTCTTTTTCCCATTCCCAACATTTTGAGTAGTTGAATGCACAGTTGAATCTATATATAGAGAGAGGTATAATTTACGTGTGTGTGTGTGTGTATCAAGTTACATTTGCTACAGCTCCACTAGAGTCAATGAAGGCATAATTGGTGTGATGGATGGGGGTGTATATGTTGATGTTTAGGCATCAAACCAGAAGGGAGTGGCTGGGAGGGAAATTGCTAGAGTGGAGGAGGAGGACCATTTGGCAAGATCGCTGGCATGAAGGGAGGGAAAGTCAGGTTCAAAGTCACAGACCCCATGAAATGTCTACATCTATTCTTTGAACCATACTTTTGTTCTGTGAACATTTTAGGAAGCTTCCCAGACCCCGAAAGGTAGACTACCAACAACTGACTTTCAGTTGTGAAGACACTTCTTCAACATGTAAAAACATGAGACTCTTCTATGTAATGCAAAAGGAAAAATTAACTGGACTGGGGTCAAAGCCAAGGGTAAATGAGCTGCAGTGTAAACCCAGAATGGGTACTGAAGGAATGTAGAGCATCCCATTCTGACAGAGAATGTTTCATTTTTAATTGAAAGGTAGGTGTGGTGGAGGGGGGAGCATTTACAGATGTCTTAAAGGAGGAACAGTATTTTAAGGAAAAAAAGAATGTCAGCCATGCAGCTGTTGATGAAGAGGGGGCCATTTAGCCTAAATAGAATCCTAGACATCTCTTTTTATATCGTTTCTATCGCAGTTCATCCTTTTTGGCATGGGGCCTTTTAGGGGAAATGTACAACATATTTTATTTATTTATTTTTTGCGCTACGCGGGCCTCTCACAGTTGTGGCCTCTCCCGTTGCGGAGCACAGGCTCCGGACACGCAGGCTCAGCAGCCATGGCTCACGGGCCCAGCCGCTCCGCGGCATGTGGGATCTTCCCGGACCGGGGCACGAACCCGTGTCCCCTGCATCGGCAGGCGGACTCTCAACCACGGCGCCACGAGGGAAGCCCATACAACATATTTTAAATCTGAATCTTTCGTTGTCAATTTCTTACCTACTGATTTCACCTTCCACTGTTTTTGTGGGAGGATTCATCTGTCTTCCACAGAAGAACTTTTCTATTTCAGTTACGTCTTTACTTTTAAAGCTGTTTTAGCTTAGCAATTTCTGCTGTCATTCAAATAAATCATTTTAAAATAATGTATAGGAATTATTGTAATTATTGAGGAAAAAATGGAACGAATGAAGTTCTGCATAGTCAGTAACCTTTTTCCAAGAAGATGAAAACGTTTATATATTGAATTTAAAGAAATTGAAAGTGTAAAAGTAAACCTTAGCTTTGAATATATTCAACCCCAAATCAGTTTTTTTTCCTTAGCTACGTTGAATTAGAAGTTTGCATTTGCCAAAGGACACAAAATAACTGCTTTGCTTGCCAGTCAAGTTTCCTCTTTTGTTTTCCAAGATTAGAAAGAAAATTGAATTACCGCTATTTCATAAGGGTACAGGAGCTCTATTAAATTAAGATTATATTACACTCAACATTACACATCCACCTGAAATAATCAGCACACAGTTGAGAATTTTCTCAAATATTTTTCTGTTATTTCTTCATTGTCCTAAAAACTCCATGTGCAAAATGTAATATGTCTTTCAGGTATCCCTTTGTCTGGATGTTATTTTAGACATTCTTAAAGACAGATTTTTTTTTTTTTTTTTGCAATATTGCAGATAATGTATTTTCATAGGGCATGAAGAGGAAAGGTGTTAAAATGGATTTTTAACCAAAGTGGGAAATGGAATCTGTAGTTTTTATTTGAGATTTATTTATAAGTACATTTTAAAAGGTTAACATTCTTTAAATTACTAGCAGAAACAAATCTGTGAAATGTCCTATATTTGTAATTGTCTTCTGTCCATACTGATCAAGAATTAAATTGAAAGAGACGGAACAGGACTTGGGGGCAAACATCATTTTGCATAGTACTCGTAGATTTTGTCATTGTAGAGAGTCCCTTAAACAAATTGAAGCTGCACTGTTAGCTGAAGGGTGTCTCATGTTACCATTTTACTGTATTTCAGGAAAACAGTGCATGTTCCTGGTGGATCTGGATCGAGCAAGAGCTGCAGAAGAACGTGGCTACTCCATTCAAGTGATGTCCATGGAACCAGAGAGCTGCTCTCCCAAAAATAACATGATTGTGGGAGTCCCCATTTAGAATGAGATATTCCACGTTTGATGTTTTGCCATCCGTCTCTGTGATGAAAGCCCAGTGGCATTCAGGAGGGTCTTGGAATAACTAGGAAACAGCATTAGCCATCTTGAACCTATTGTGCTCAGGGAAGAACACAGCAGGAAAGTCTTGGAGGAAGGCTGCCTGCAAAGCATCACAAATGCTCTTGTAATTGTGATTAAAAGACTGCTGGTTTTCATAGTGAGAATCCCTAGAAGTCTCAGCTGCCAGCAGAGTGATACTCATGAGAGGAGTTTCCATTACTGGAATAACGATTTCTTTCTCAGTTCACAGCTTTTCTGATCTTGCCAGTGTGGGGTTCAGTTCAAAAGAATGTACTTGCAGCCTTAAAACCATTTAGAGATTCAAGTGGAGACCAAAACTAGACTCAGTGGGGTTTGTTTGTTTGTTTTTTTATATTTTTAACAATTGTAGTTTTTAAATAATTTTTTCAAAAATCTAGTCAGATAGTTACAGTGTGCTTATATTTTTAAGCCGGGGTGAGTTGGACTTATATATCATTTCATATACTCCTTTTAAACATATTTCTCATAAATTACCAAATAAGATCATTGCTGGTTCAAACATTTTATATGAAGATTTTAAGTAATTTCAGTAAATTTCCCATTACAGGAACATGTAATTTGGACTTAAATTCTAACTAATCAGTAAATACATTGATTTATTAATTCAAGTCAATAAATAATTGTTACAGATCCATTATTTTCAAGATCCTGACCTAAATTCGTCTAAGGATACAAAGATGAGTTGCAACAGACACAGTGCCTTGCCTGTAGAAGTAAATCATGTACAAGAGAAAGGTTCATGAATTAGTTAAGTTCTTTACATCATAATATAATGTATGGTCACAGGATGTGTTTTTCAGATACCAATCTTTTTTTTTTTTTTTTTTTGGTAAAACGTACTCAGTATAAATCGCAGGTGGAAGGAGTTGAGTATGGAAGCTTATTTGAGTAGTTCTCTCCACCCAAATTGTCCTTATTCCACCATCCAAAGTTTTTAAAACCAGATGGCAGGTCTTTTCTCACATGCTGGTAATTATTTTTTACATGTCCTGGGTTATTCCACTTGAGCTGAGATTTATTTCATCGATTTTGATGTTTTCAACCCCCCGTATGACACATATCATGATGAGAAAGGGCTTTAATAAATAACTCTTTCGTCACTGTGGATTAAAATACAGGAATAATTTATAAAGGGTATGGGGGTTTGAACTCTTGCTTTCTGGGATAAAATTAAAGAAAAGAATTAACCATCAGCCCTGAGTATCTTAGTCATTTGCACGTATAAACACACCATGCTCTTTTATCCAGGGCTTTTTCAATTGAGGAAAAATTTACAGCCAATAAAATAGCAGATTTTTTTTTTTTTTCTTTTGCGGTACGTGGGCCTCTCACTGTTGTGGCTTCTCCCGTTGCGGAGCAACAGGCTCCGGACGCGCAGGCTCAGCGGCCATGGCTCACGGGCCCAGCCGCTCCGCTGCATGTGGGATCTTCCCGGACCGGTGCACGAACCCATGTCCCCTGCATCGGCAGGCGGACTCTCAACCACTGCGCCACCAGGGAAGCCCAAAATAGCAGATTTTAAGTGTTCAGTTTGAGAAGTTTTGACAACCATATATACTCATGCAAGCATCACCAGAAATAAGATATAGAATATTTCTGTCAGTCTAGAAAATTCTCTCATGTGCTTTCAGTTCAATTTCCCCCACCCCAAAGGCAACCACTCTCTGATTTCTATCACCCTACATTTGTTTTGCCTATTTTTATCCTTCACATAAATGAAGTCATTTAGTATGTAGTCTTTTGTGTCGGGCTTCTTTTGCTCAACATGGTATTTTTTGAGAAATATCCACTTCATTGTGTGTATCAATGCTTTCTTCTTATTCTTAAGTAGTATTTCATTATATCAAAATGTGTTTATCCATTCTCCTACTGGTATTTATTTGGATTGTTTTCACTTTGAGGATATTAAGAATAAGGTCTATGAATGTGCTTGTACAAGTCTTTTTGTAGACATATATTTTCATTTCTCTTGGATAAATACCCAGTAGTAGAATTGCTGGGTCATTGAAGAAATGAATGTCAGTTGCCAAACAATTTTCCAAAGTTGTTGTACCATTTTATATTCCCACCAGCAATGTATAAAGGGTCTGGTTCTCTACATCCTCACCAACATTTGATGTTGTCAGTTTTTTAAATTTTTACCATTCTGGTGGATGTGAAATGGTATCTCATTGTGGTTTTAATTTTCATTTCTCTGATAACTAGTATGTTAAGCATCATTTATAAAGTGTCTACTAAAGTCTTTTGCTCATTTTTAAAATTAGGTAATTTGGGGTATTTTTTATTGTTGATTATACATTCTGGATATGAGTCCATTGTCATATAAATGTATTGAGACTATTTTTCCCAGTCTGTGGCTTGCTTACTCATTTTTATAATGAATGTTTCAATTTTTAATAAGCCTAATTTATATTTGTCTTTTATGCTTAATATTTTCTGTGTCCTCTCTAATAAATCTTTACCTACCCTAAGATTATAAAAATTCTTCCTATGTTCTTATAGAAACGTTATGGTTCTAGCTTTTTACATTTAGGTCTATGATTCATCTCAAATCAATATTCACTCATAGAGGTAAGTTTTGAGGAATATACAGTTGTTTCAGTGCCATTTGTTTAAAAAACTTTCCTCACTGAATTGACTTTCAACTGAATTCTCAGTTGAAAAACGATAGATGTATATGTATGAGTCTATTTCTGAATTCTCTGGTCTGTTCCATTCATCTGTTTGATTATTGGAGCTTTATAGTAAGTCTTGAAATTAGGTAATTTGTCTTCCAATTTCACTTTTTATTTTGCAGATTATTTTGGCTGTTCTAAATCCATTGTTTTTCCATATAAATTTTTTAATTGGCTTGTCAATTTCTTTTAAAAACAAAAAGGCTGCTGAGATTTTTGGTATTGCCTGGAATCTTTAGATCAGTTTAGGGAAAATGGACACATTAACAATATTGAGTCTAACAACCCATGAACATAATGTACCTTTCCATGCATTTAGATCTCCTTTAATTAATCTCAGCAATATTTTATAATTTTCAGTGTAGATGTTTTATTTATTATTCTTTGATAGTTCTGAGGCTGTTACCTTGAGTTTTTGCATGCTGTTCCCACTACCCAGAATAGCCTCTTTTACCCCTCCCACTAACATCATCTCATTCAGCCTTCTGTTCTTAAACTCAACCTCCTGAGGGACGCCTTTCCTAACTTCCCTGGAGTTAGGTACCTGTTATAGAATGTGCACCATCCAGAGGAGTCTTCTCCATCCTCCCCAAGTGACTCAAAGCACCCCTTCCCCACCCACAAAAAAAAAGCCCATATGATGAATATGGAGAATAAAAAAAAGTGATCCCACTGTTCTCCCACCCTTGTTCTCAGGCATGGAATTCTTCAGCTGTGATGGCTGTGGCCAGTCCTAGACATGGGTATTAACAATTGCTCTTGATTTTTTCTGAGTAAATCCTTGCCAAGGCTTCTTCTCAGCCAGAGCAAATAAAAGGGGTTGGATACAGGCAGCAAGGTTGTTGCAGTGACAACAATCCCAGAAAGTGACCTGGTCTCACCCCTACCCTTGTCCATCAAAAGCAGCGCTGCTTCTCAATGATTTGTCTCCCCCATGATTGTAATATTAGAAGCCAGAGCTTATCGTTCATTGACTTTTGAGCCTGGCCCAGAGAAGCAGGGGACAACTTTATCTTATTTAAGGAGACAAATTTCAGTCATGTTAGAAAACAAAATATTTTCAGAGCATACATGCAAAGTAAAATGTGCATAACAACAGTTAAATATTTTACTTCATTCTCAAGATTTTGGCTACAAGTGTTGCCAGCTCTGTGGTTCCAGAAAATTGCTGTTAATAGAACTTCCACATACTGACACCTGTTTTTCTATTGACTTTCATAGTATAATTAGAGCTATGTTCCTGTGGAAGTCATGTAATTGTAATAAGGCAAACATTTTGTTTAAAGTACAAATTTTTGAAAACAGACTCTCAATGCAAAGTAGTTAAGAGTTTTTTAATAGGTTTTCAGATTACACCAGAAATACATGCCTGTTGAGGAAAAACTAGATGTGGCTAAACAAAAAGAGGAAACATTTTAAAGTAACTTAATACTGTGTTGTATTCCTTCCTAGACTTTGTTCTGCACACGTGCGCGCACGCACACACACACACACACACACACGGATTTATTTAACAAACACTAATACTGTATTTAGTATTTGCTAGGTACTATTCTTTACAAATAATAACATTTATTCTTTTTTTTAAGTTATTTAATCCTCGTAATGACCCTAAAAGCTAGACACCATTAGTAATCCCATTTTACAGAACTAAGGCCAACGTTTCATAGTAAGAGCAGACCCAGATTTGAACTTAACCAGTGAATGGCAGAGATAATATTCAAATTCAGGCTCCTCAACAATCCTCTTAGGATCGGCTGAAACAGCCTATACTAACTAAGTCCCTGTACCTTTTGAAGTTCTACACAAGAAAGATGTATTTTTTGCTCACACTACATATCCACGTTAGCGCTGATTCTACATTATCTTCACATCTGACCAGGCAGCCTCTACTAGGAACGTAGCTTGTCTCATGGCAAAGGAAAAATAGGCATGGCAAACTATCAGCTGGCTACTAAAGATTCTGCTCAGATCCGTTATACTGCACTTCCCTTATTTTGTTGACAAAAGCCAATTACATAGCCACTCCTGAGTTTAACAGGGTGGGGATGTGTATATAACCTTGGTGGGGGGCGTGGGGGGAGGCGGGTTGCAAATAATTGCAAACAATAATGTACCACCAACAATATAGTTGAAGGAGAAAGAGAAGAAAAGGAAAAGAAGGAAGAAGAAAACAGAAAGAAAAGGCCATTGTATCTTCCAGTTTAGAAACAGATTCTGAATGCTATTGCCTTGGTGTAGGGCATTTTACTGGGTCCATCAAAGAGAGAAAAGGCATGTATGTGCCACAAGCTTTTCTGACATTGCTCTGTGGACTTTTCATACTTACTTTCAGAAAGGAATTTTCCAGAAGACGCTCAAAGGGGTTGTTTTTATTGTTATAGAAGGTTGGAGAAACTTCTACTAAATGGAGTTTCAAATTTGCAAATTCTGCCTCCTGTGTTAAAGTGCTTGATCTATAATGCCAAATATTCCTTCAGGAAGGTATGAGTTTACATGCCTAGGAATGTATGATTGTTTATATCCCTGTACTCTTAACCAACACAGGCATTATCAGAATTTTGTTTTAATCTTGGCCAATTTGATGGTCAAAAATCCTATTTTGTTTTGATATTCATTCTTGAAATTATTCATATAATTGCATATTTTTCATATGTTTATTGGCCATTTACATTCTGCAAATTCATCAGTTTGTTCCTTTAATCAACATATATTGACCTCTTGCTTTGAGGTCAAGTATTGTGTACATATTTCTGGCTCATTTTTCATCTGGTACTTTCATTTTTTATATAAGGATTAGTAAAGGGTTTTAAATATATATATATATGTATTTCTCAGTTGTTTTATTTTTTAAATTTTTATTGGAGTATAGTTGATTTACACTAAAGGTTTATTTATGGGTTAAAGACTTTTGTTAATTACATTACAATTTAAATTGGCCTTTATGGGGGAAGGTGTTGTGTCTGTTTTTGTTTTGCTGTTATAAAATTTAAAATACACATTTTATCATATATGTCACTCTTTTTCTTGTGATCTCTGCTTAGAAAGATTTTTCCCACCCAGTGATAAAAAAATACTCACCCATATTTTTGGTATTCTAATTCTTTAATAATTTTAGTTTTTACATTTAAATCTTTTACTCAGCAAGAATTCCTTTCGGTGGGTGGTTTGAGGTAGAAATCTAATATTTGTTTTCATGTTATTAGTTACTTTTCACCATACTATTATAAAAATCTAACTTTTTCCATTGATTCCAGATGCCTTTAAAATACTAAGTATGCACTGGACTTTCTTCACTTTTATTCTTTTCTATTGAATTCTTGTACCAGAATCATACTCACTAAATTATTGCAGCTTTATAAGACATTTTGACATCTAGCAAGTGAGTTTTATGTTTGGTAATAATTTCAAGGGTTTGTGACCTGAGACAGAGAATGTCTCTCTCCTGAAATTGTACCCTATGGTTCAAATAGACATGCATTTTCCTAGAGAGAGGGGCCATAGTCTTAATTAGATTCTCAAAAGGATCCGTGACCCCAAATAACATTATAACTGATCTAAAGGAAGCAAAAATGTAACAATTCAATGTTCTGCCCAAAAGAATTAGCCAAATATTAGAATCTTTTTTCAATATTTACAATAAAAGAATCATTATTTGCTTTTGCAGGATTCCTTTTTCATAGCTCTCTAAAGAAGCCAGGTTTTGTTCATTTGTATTTGTTTGTTTGCTTGTAGGTCTAGTTTATCTGACCTGAATAACAACATTTATAATCGAGCAAGAAAACAAAGTTCAACAGCAAACAGAGGAGAATATTTACTGGATGACTGATCTAAAGCATCCTGAACGTTTCCGTAATGTGAGTCAGATACTGTGTTAGCTGCTGTCACCTTCTAGAAGGAAGCTTTCTGCCTAACTAAAGTGGCCTCTCCCGGTTACTTGCTATCTCCCCACAATACCTCTGTGTACGTTTATTATTTGTCCCTCCATAGAATTTAAGCTCCAAGCAGTCTGTTTTATCTACCATTATACTTTCAGTACTTAGTCCAGTGTCAGGCACATAGTAGGAACTCAGTGAATGTTTATAAAATGAATACTATATATTTAACACCTTCCATATGGGGTGAAAATCCTTTCCCATCTGTAGACATACATCCAAGCATCAGGCGTGTGGGCTTTTCTTATTGTTTGGGTTTATGTTGTTTTTATTTTGTTTATTGTTCTTCAAACACATTTAGCAAATCCAGTGTAAAGAAGAATAAGCAGTGACAGTTATTGCCTATGTCATCTGAATAGCTTTTATGCAGAAACTACTGGTAAATTATTTTCGCTGTCCAAGGAGGAAAAGGCAAAAGGGAATATGCTTAAGCTAAAGTGAGAAGAAAAGTTTCTCAACAAATGTCAGTTGGATGTTTACCGTTATAAACCTGTCCCAGCATAGAGCAGGGCTCACTCGAAGTGATTAGTAAATATCTGTTAAATGAGTGTTACTGAACGACCATTAAAGAAATAAAACCGTGGAATGTGTAATCTGTAGGGAGAGGGCATTTCTCGGTCACTGGGGCTGCTTCAGTGAGAAGAGAGATGCTTGCTCTTCACATGTCTGATGACTGGGCTCAGTTACTGATCAGTTCTCACCATCTGCCTGCCTTTCAGTCAGAAGAGGACCGTATGCACAGCCTGGGAGTCTCACAGACTACTTTCCTTGTATGATGCTTCCTCCTTTGCACAGAATAGCTCGCTCAATTATCTGAAAATAATACATATCCCAGTATAATTTTGGAATGCACCACATATTTTGTTGAGAACGACAACCTTATCCCTTATGAAGTTCTCAGTAATTAAGAAAAGTGAGCTAGAACTTCTTGGATAGGCAAAGAAACACAGCACGAGGGTAAAAATTTACCATACACAGTTAAGACCATGGTCTATACACATAACCAACTAGGCATTGACTATATATAATAGTAATAAAGGTGACTTTTCTGTATAACCAAATTTACTTTCACTGCAAATTTTAAATGATCATCTGACTCATTTCTTTGTTTCAAACCTATTATTTCTAATAGATCCTTCGTAGATCATCCCACAGTTTACTTTGAATTTAATGAGACTAAAAATACATAAGTACATTCCTAGGTAAATGGCGACTGTTCTTCCTTTATTATATTTTGAGTTTAGAACTTCCACAATGCAGGGATGACAATGATACTCTTTAATTGGATTTTTAACTGAGTACTTGGAGGCACGTTTGCTGCTGAATTGAGAGCAGATAGTTACTTTGGGAAAGCATCTGTGTGTGTATTTGGGGAAGTGAAAGAAGGTCATGGGGAGAGAGGAAACAATGCATATAAATTAATACAGCTCAATTCCCTCCTCAATCTCCCCATAAGAGAGCATCTTCACGTTATTCCCAGAATTACACAACTAGAAATAGTTGATGTAGCAAAACATGAATTTCAACACCTTTGGTAAATTGAGCACCCAAATTTCCCGACAGACTAAAGTCAATCTGATTTTTGAAGAAACCCCCAACAGGAGATTTTAGCTTATTTCTCCATAAATCTTTAATGTATTTTCCATATCTCACCTCAAGGAAATTCTGTTTTAACCACATTCTTCGTGCTACATTTAAAAGGCATCTCAGGTGCTTATGTCAGTGGAAAGGAGCGGGAGCTATGAACTAACTTTCTTTGTTTTAAATTTGAAGAGACTTGAAAAGTATTATTTTTACCTATTTATTATTGCTTATGTAGTATTGTTAGAATTATCATCAGAATGAACCGTCCTAATTTTACCTTTTGAGTCTTAGGGGTAAGTCTTTCAATATTCCTAAGGCTCCCTTCCAAACCTAGCTCAATTTCCACCTCCTCCTGGGCTGTAAATCTTGCATGCTTTACAGAAGCTACCTGAATAGAATCATTAATGCTAATTATTGTCTTAATGACCTGCAGCTTTCTAAGTCTAGATGTCTGGCAGGGAGAAGCCCTGCCTTTGTTCTTCCTCAAAATAATCTTGGCTATTCCTGCCCTTTTGCTCTCTTCCATCTAGAATTTAAGATCTACTTGTCAAGTTCTATGAAAAAGCCTTTACTGGATTTAGAGATTGCGTAGAGAAGAATTAACATATTAACAATGTCCAGCCTTCTTACTTCTGAGCTTGGTGTATATGAACAAGGTAGTTCCCTTCAATTCCCACTTTATCATGTATAGATTGCTGATTTAGCAAATGCTTTTTTTGTATCCACTGAGGTGATCATCTCTTTTTCCCCTTTTAGTATTTTAATGAGGCTAATTCCATTAATATATTGTCTAATGTTAAACTGTCCTTATACTCTTGGGAAAAACATAAATTGCTCAAGATAAGTTTTTTTCTAGCTATTAACGTTTTATTTTTAATTTTATCATCTTTGTTCATAAGCATTATTGTCATGTGATTGTCATTTTCTGATGTTATCCTGATCTGGTTTAGGTATCAGGATCAAGGCTATTCTAGCACCATTAAGTGATAAGAAAATCATTGTTTCTGTTCTCTAGTACAGTTTTTATAACCTAGAAATTGTCTTCCTCAAATGCTTCGTTCACTGGCCTGTAAAACCATGCAGTATATTTGGGGACAGGATAATAGGAATTAGATTTTAAGCTGCTTATTAAATGTCTTTGGTGATCATTGGTATATTTAGATTTTCTATTTCTTCTTAAATCACTTACCTATTTCTAAGACACTGTCTGGGTTGACTTTTTTATTTCTTTATCTAGGCTGGTGATAAAACTTTAAAAAAAAAAATCTAGGCTCCTACCTGACTTTGAAACACCTTGTATTATTTTTTGACCCTCTAGCAATTTGTATTCTCATCTAATAGTTATGCTGTCCAGACCACGTTTTCTAAATTTATTGCCTCATACAACTGAATCACCTAACCTTCTGAGAGCCAAGATAAATTAGAACTATCTCTTTTTCTTGATCTACCTGGGACTTTTATCCTAATAGATGAGGTTAGTCTGACAATGTTTATTCTTCACGAAGACTTGCTGGCAGCTATCAGCAAGATGCTTGCAAGTTTTTCTTTCAATGATGTTTAAATGTACAGACATTTACTGTATAGAATTTATACTCACATTGCTACAGTTTTTGGAGGATTTTACTATGAATGTCATCAAGAGTGGTTTCCAAGAACAAATTTTAGAAACAGTAATAATAGACAATAGAATGGAACCCTGAACAGTTTCCTTAAAGGGGCCCTTTGTCCTTAAGAAGTCAAGGTGGGATGTAAGTATTGAGAAATGTGTACTAGATCCTGAGAGTTTGCTACCTCCCCAGTCAGAAATTAAATATATTATGACTTATGTCACTGATAAGCACTAATGGATAGCTCTGGTGATGTTCCAAAACAACTGAAAGAAGACACCAGCTGCCATCAGATGCAAATTAAAAGATTGTTATCAAATATGATAGGAGAGGGAAGATCATCAAATTAAAAGATTGTTATCAAATATGATAGGAGAGGGAAGATCATCTTATCCCATCTTAGGCATTCCAGAGGAAAGGATATATAGCTGCTGCTACTCTTACTGTGGATTTGTATGGCCTTTGTAGTGTGTCTGTGTATGTGTGTATTCAAGAGTTTCCCAGTTCCTAACTACTGCAATCCATTCAGTCCTTTGAAATAATTAATTCATGGATTGCCAGACTACAGCCCAAGGGCCAAACCAGCCCAAAGCCTGTTTTTGCAAATAAAATTTTATTGGAAAGCAGTCATGCTTATTTGTTTATGTATTTTCTATAACAATTTTTGAGTGCAAATGCAGAGCAGTTTCAATAGAGACTAGGTGAAAGGTGAAAGTATGTAACCTCCTGCTTTTCACAGAAAACACTTGCTAATCCCTGAGTTAAATCATTAGGTGTCGAAAAAGCTGGAGAATCACTTAATCTAGGCAAGTGACCTTAAACTGGCCTTCATAAATATGTATCTGGGGTCCATCATTTCAAGAAATAATTTGTGTTATTTATTGTATGTGTGCATTTTACTGGTAAGAGAATCCTGTGTCTTTCATCAGATACTCCAAAAGGTCTTGTGATCCAAAATGTGTTAAGAACTAACTTTTAGGTGAATACTGTTTATTTGTTTATTTTGTTATTTGTTTATTTGTTCTTTTGAAGGCTTATGGGCTAGAAGAAAAAGCAGTTCACAAAACTGACCCAACACAATGAAATACCATTAGACCTGTTAGGATGGCTATTATCAAAAAAAAAAAAAGATAAATTTTGGCAAGGATGGGGAGAAACTGGAACCCTTGTACAATATTGGTGGGAATGTGAAATGCTCCAGCCCCTACAGAATCAGTACAGAGGTTCCTCAAAAAATTAAAATAGAACTACCGTATGATCTAGTGATCCCACTTCTGGGTATATACCTGAAAGAAATAAAATCAGTTGCTCAAAGAGATAGCTGCACTCGCATGTCCACTGCAGTATTATTCACAGTAGCCAAGCTATGAAAACAACCTAAATGACCATCAATAGATGAATGGGTAAAGAAAATGTGATATTGATATTATTCAGCCTTAAAAAAGATGGAAAACCTGTGATATGTGACAACATGGATGAACCTGAGGACATTGTGCTAAGTGGAGATAGGCCAGTCACAGAAGGACAAATACTGAATGATTCCACTTATACGTGCTATCTAAAATAGTCAGACTCACAGAAACAGAGAACAGGATGGTGGTTGCTCGGGGCTGGGGACGGGGGCAATGCTGTTCAATGGGTATAAAGTTTCAGTTAGGCAAGATGAATGAGTTCTAAAAATCCGATGTACAAAAAATATGAGGTACAATACTGTGCCTATGGTTAACAACTGTATTGTGCACTTAAAATTTTGTTAAAAGGGTAGATTTCGCATTATGTGTTCTTACCACAATAATAATTAAAAAACTGACCCAAAGAGTTTTTTGAAAGAATGAGGAAGTTGGTAAATACTGTTGGCTAAGGGAATTTTGTGTGCAAGAGAAAGAATTTTATAACTCTCCAGAGTTAAGTCTAAGTCATTTATTTCTATTGATTATGTGCCACATATTGTTCATAATGTCTAGTTTTCATGACCTTGCCTGATGGGTATTAACCCCTCATTTTACAGAAGCATGAACTAAGGCTCACTAAGGATACATAATTTATTGTCAAGTAATAGTAAAGATTTGGGGCTTCCCTGGTGGCGCAGTGGTTGAGAGTCCGCCTGCCAATGCAGGGGACACGGGTTCGTGCCCCGGTCCGGGAAGATCCCACACGCCGCGGAGCGGCTGAGCCCGTGAGCCATGGCCGCTGAGCCTGCGCGTCCGGAGCCTGTGCTCCGCAACGGGAGGGGCCACAGCAGTGAGAGGCCCGCGTACCAAAAAGAAAAAGTAAAGATTTGAAAGAGCGTATGATTCCTAAGACTGTGTACCACACACCCTCTTCACCAAAGTTTCATACATTATCAGAAGTTGTCTATGACATGTTGTTAAGGAATTTAATGCTAGTTTTAAATTGAGAAAAATCTTCACTTGTTGCTCCACTGGGAAGCCCAATGCTTGAGGTCCATTATACAACTCTTCCCTCTGAACTCAGATCATCTCTAGAGAGTGGAGTAGAGGGCTGCTCTCTTCAGAGAACTCACTGACTTTCCACAGTCTGGGGAAAATTTTCCTCTCACCAATGCCTTTCTCAAAGTCATTCCTCTCTCTCCCCTCCTTGGCTTTGATACATAGCTTTGCCTTAGCAATGAATTCAGGCTTTCAGAAAAGAGAGAGGGTTATTTTCAAGTTGTGTCTGTTTTAGACCCTGAACAGATCTTTATGCCAAAAAAAATACAAACTTGGTCGTGTGTGTCTGTGTGTGTGTGTGTGTGTGTGTGTGTGTGGAGTGGGAGGGTTATAAGTGGGTTTAGGTAAAGAGAACCAAACCACAGACTAATTTGTAAATACATTATCATGTGACAATCTTATTGGCGATGAGAAGCCATTCGGTTCTTTGTGGAGGGGAGTGAAGGATGGAAGCATTGTTTTAAGAAAGGGGAAACACATATTTGCTGCAAACTTAGAATCAAGCCTTAGACTTTTCACAATGTAATTATTTCACAATAAAATTACTGTGAAATAAAGTTTACTGAGGTTACTTGAAAATAGGTGCAAATACACAAATGGCCAAAATCTACCTTAAATTGTAACTTGCAAATAGAATGGAATTGAATGGGCTGTCCTACTGCCCACCACCTTACACCTTTGGTGACTTCTACACGTGAGAAAAAGAAATGAAACACTGGAAATTTTAGCTTTTCCGCTGTAAAATCACTAATACGTTAAATCACCCTTTAAAACTAGTAACCAGCATCTTTCTTTGTGATACTAGTGTTCTGATGCTCTTTTTCAAGCTTTTTCTTGGGAAAGGTATTCTGTTTTCTGAATGTACAAATCATTTATATGACGTTCAATCTATCACTTTGGATCAAGTTGCCTTTGGTCTTTTTATATAACTACACTCCAAGAACATCAGGTCCTGGCAACGACGTTTGCGCTTCCTGAAGTGGGTGCTGTCCCTTCTGGGTAACCTTTTGTGAAGTCACATGAGTGGCAGCTATCCTAACTCTGGTTGTCCTCTAGGCAACGACATTTGAGCTGTTGCTGTTTCATCTTGTAGCATCTCAAAGCCAATTTTTCCTCCAGGTTTGATTACTCTTTTCCTTGATGAATTTGTAAAATGTGTCTTGGCATTTTCAATTACCCAAGCATTCAAGAAGACAGCTTTTGTGTGTGTTGACTCAGGCCCACACCCACGCTAATGATAGAGGCTCTGTAACCGCCCAGCCAACTGCCTGTAATAAGAGTGAATGCACACATAAACTGAATTGTGATTTAATCTATTTTTTTTCTTTTTTTCCTTCTTTTTTTTCTTTTCCCCTAGGTGCTTCAGAACCATTTCTTTCTTTTTTTATATAGATTCCATATATATGTGTTAGCATACAGTATTTATATAATCTATTATTTTAATCAGCAAAGTAAAATTCTGGATTACCCTTCCTAAATTAAAGGAGCACTTTACAGCTAATCCAAAATATCGTTTGTGTATTAGATTTGGCTCCTTGGTTACAATTTACTACTAACAACATAATAACTAATGAGAGGAGGAGGCAGCACAAAAACATGTAATTCTTGCAGCTAGAATTTAGTAAAAACATAGAAAATAAAACGTGGAATCAAAAACAGAGTTTAGATTTGAAAACGGTCACGGATCCACAAAGTAAATAGTCTGTGCCTAAAGCATGGAGCATGGTTTTAAATGCCCGCTATAAATTGTCTTCTTAGAGAGTCTGAGGGTTTTCCTTATATCGTCCACACACCCCCTAACCACTTCCTGCTCTGCCAGTGCCCCCAGGAAACTGACATTGGGGGAGCATGCGCAGAAATTCTGAAGGTAGAAAGGAAGGGAGAGAGAGGTAAGGGTATTACTTGCTGCTTCAGGGAGGGGTCTCCAGTACTCTGTCTGCCCTAAAGACTACAGCTCCTTTTGATGGGCCCTTCCTCTTCCTCCATGGTTCCAGTCTGGGCTATGGTTTCCTCCTCTTGTCTTTTTACACCCAAGGCTGTTTACCTGCTTCCCACTTTTACTGGTCTTTTAGCTTTTCACATCCCTTCATTATTCCCTTCCCCAGGCCTTCACATGCTTGTGGTCCCTGCAGTAAAACCTCTTCATTTGAACCACCTGCTGCAACCCTGATTGATACAAAGAGACTACACTGAATAGCCATGGAGTGCTTTGAAAGGTATCTTTTTCTTTTTTACTGGCCATATTGGAATGTAGGTGTGTATGGGGGGAAAAATCTTGTGATCAAGCCTCTGACTAATTTACAGATCAAACAGTTAAGGGTTGGCTATTCATAGCTCCTTTGTTAACCATTTATCATGGTGGCCTCCTAGAATTACACTTCCTGAAGTTAGGTCAAATCGTCATTGTGTTTATAATTTGGTAGCATAGAAACAGGGATTCTTTCATTTATTTCAATTTGGTAACTTCTCAGTCTGGTATTATTTGAAGGAAAATAGAGTTGTGTGACCATAGCAAGCATAAAATGTCTATTAGTAAATCTCAGCATTCATTGGTCATAAAGTCAAACACTTTAGCAAGTTTCCAAATGTTGAACATTGAAGCAGGTAAAAGGCATTAAGATTCCTCAAAGATCAAATCAAAGTCAGTAATAGAATTCAAAATGAATAACTCACTTATTTGCATAAGCAATCTGAACTTTAACTCTCAGTATTCCACATCAAATACTAATTTCTTTTATATTGTGCAGGTGTCTGTAGTAATGTACCAACTAGCAATGTTAATTTGCTAAAACCTCATCCAGTACTAGCATACTACAACTACATCTGTTAAGTGTGTTTTCTTGTTAACATTTATGTCTCAGTGTAAGATACACAGGCACCCACACACACATGTTTTAGAGAAGCTATTTAAGGTTTTTTCAGTGAAAAATAGAAGTGTTTCTGGAGTGTAGATTTGAATTCATCCCAAGTAAAATTAAAACAGTCCCTCAGAAATGTCTCTTGTTTGCATTTGGTCTGAAACATTGCTTCTCTAAACTGTCTACTTGTCAGAATTGCCTGGAGAGCATTTTTAAAACACAGATTCCTGATTTCAATCCAGTCCTTCTGTAGAGGCTGGGGCAGAATGGGACTATATCTGTTTCATTCATCACTGTGTATCCAGAATATCATGCAAGGCCCTCAGTAATCATGTGATGAATGAATGAATCAGAATGTCTGAAGGTTGAATCTAGGAACCTGTATTTTTGTAAGGGCCTCCAGGTGATTCTGCTGACCAATCACTTCTGGAAAACACTGATCTTTAACTTAGAATTTTAGACCTGGAGGAGATCTTAGCCAGCATTTAATTCAACACACTTACTTTGGAAATGGAAAAACATGAAGTCTGAGAGATTAAATAACATATATAATCATAATATTTTCATACTTAGCAACACATTTTAGGACAAATGATGAGAAACAAAGAGAAAGGGGGACTAAAAGACACACTTTTTCTTCGTGTGTGTGTTAAAATGCCAATATGGCTAGAGTAAAGATTTTTTTTTAATTTGAAGTATAGTTGATTTACAATATTATGCTAATTTTAGGTGTACAGCATAGCAATTTAGTATTTTTACAGATTATACTCCATTAAAAGTTATTACAAAATAATGGCTATAATTCCTTGTCCTATACAATATAGCCTTGTTGCTTATCTGTGTTATGCATAGCAGTTTGTATCTTTTAATTCCATACCACTAACTTACCCCTCTCCCCCCAGTGGTAACCACTAGTTTATTTTCTATGTCTGTAAGTCTGTTTCTGTTTCACATATACATTCATTTGTATTATTTTTTAGATTCTACATATAAGTAGTGTCATACAGTATTTGTCTTCCTCTGTCTGACTTATTTCACTAAGCATAATATTCTCAGGGTCCATTGATGTGGCTGCAAATGGCAGAATTTCATTCTTTTTAATGGCTGAGCAATATTCCACATCTTCTTTATCCATTCATCTGTTGATGGGCACAAGGGTTGCTTCCATATCTTGGATATTGTAACTAGTGCTGCTATGAACATTGGGGTGCATGTATCTTTTTGAATTAGTGTTTTCATTTTTTCCAGATACGTATCCAGGAGTGGAATTGCTGGGTCATATGATAGTTCTATTTTTCGTTTTTTGAGGAATCTCCATGCTATTTTCCACAGTGGCTGCACCAATTTACATTCTCACCAACAGTGTACAAGGGTTCCCTTTTCTCCATATCTCTCCATATTTCTCCAAATCTCTCCAAGATTTGTTATTTGTGGGGTTTTTTTTTTTTTTTTTTTAGATGATAGGCATTCTGACTGGTGTGAGGTGATACCTCATTGTAGTTTTGATTTGCATCTGTCTAATAATTAGTGAATAGTTAGTGATGTTGAGCATCTTTTCATGTGCCTGTTAGCCATCTGTATGTCTTCTTTGGAAAAATGTCTATTTAGGTCTTCTGCCCATTTTTTGATTGCATTGTTTGCTTTTTGATATTGAGCTGTATGAGCTGTTTATATATTTTGGATTCAAAGATATTGCTTTTACCTTAAAGACAAGCCATTTTACAGCTTGGCCTTAAGGACTATAAGAGGTCAGCTGAAGGGCACTCACCTACCTGAGGCTCTTGGTCAGGATCCTATTTCAGGGATAACTAAGGAGACTTCCCTCCTCTGCTCCCTTTCACTCCCACAGACTTTCATCCAGTTATGTCAAATACTTGAAGAAAAGTGTTTTGCTTTTGCTTAAAGTGTCTATAATAGCCTTCTCTTCCAATGAGAATTTCTCAAACAACTCTCATGTTCTCTGTGCTGCATAAATTAGGCAAATAGTAGTGAAGTTATTTTTCTTCTTCCAAAAGAATCTGTCAATAATGTAAAATTCACTTGCTAACATAATATTTTGTGCAAATACACCAAAAAATGTTTCATACCTAACCTTCTTCCTTCTGCCTGCATATTAATATGATTAGAAAATATTAGTGTTTCGATAGTCATCAGAAAGTAAACATTTAGTCACCTAGTTATTATTCACAAAATTATTTCACTATGTTTCAATGGAATTTACTGCTGACCACAGTAATTCTTATCTCTCTTAAAAGGAGCTATGCAGCTCATATCTTCAAGAGTATTCAATAGCCCAAAATAAAAGTGCTGGCATAATTTTTTAAAGTACTGGCAAAGTAAAATTTAGCATTTGCTAGAAAATGAGCCTCATTCTTTTTAAAAAGGGTGTATATTGTCTTAAAGACTGTAATAATAACAAAACTATAAGTAAGAATAATAGTAATTAGCATTGATAAAGCACTTACTATATGCTAGTTATATGCTAAGCAATATGCATAGAGTACTTCATTTATCTAAAAAATGTAAGATACTTAAGCAAGTATCATGTGTGGATATTTGTGTGTATGTGCATATATATACATATGTGACCATATATATGGCAAATCCATACATATGATACAGTATATAGTACTCACAATATATTTACTTAAATACATACAGAAAATTTCTGGGCAGATATTAAGACACAGTTGATCATTTTCATTCTGGCCATCACTCGTGGTTGCCTGCCCAATAGCCATTGCCCTTCTTTCTTGCCAACAGAACACTGGTTTTGTTGAGGCAGCCATGTGCCCGCCCAGGGGAGGAGTTACTATGAACCTAAATCAGTCACAGGTCTCATTCTCTTCTGCCCATGGTGGGTCTAGGGCTAGGAGTCAGTTCTTGTCTGGGGCATGAGAGATTACAGGAAGTCTGCTTAGGGCTTCTAGGAGGATTTCCCTCCTCAGGAAATAAGGATGTGCATGAAGAGAAAGCTTTTTCTGCTTCTAGCCCATTCCCTCCTGCTTAGGAAACTTTGATTTGAAAACACCTAGAGCCGTGTTAGCCTCCTTGTGGCAATGAGGTGTGACACTGCTGGTACACTGTGAATAGAGGGTGACTTCTTGATTATGTCACAACGTACAGAATCAACCCTGATACCACCTACCTCTGAATTTCATATAAGTTAACAAAAGCCAGTATTAATAGGGGTTCCTGTTACTTGCAGCCAAAGTATTCATGACTGATACAGTTACTTATGGGAAGTGGTATTGAGGGTACAGGAAGGGAGAACAGTGTCTTACTTTTGATTGTATATTGTTTTCTGCTGCTTTAATTTGATTTACCATGTATGGGCAATACTTCAAAATTAAAAAAACAGGGGCTTCCCTGGTGGCGCAGTGGTTGAGAGTCCGCCTGCCGATGCAGGGGACATGGGTCTGTGCCCCGGTCCGGGAAGATCCCACATGCCGCGGAGCGGCTGGGCCCGTGAGCCATGGCCGCTGAACCTGTGCTCGGCAACGGGAGAGGCCACAACAGTGAGAGGCCCGCGTACCGCAAAAAAAAAAAAAAAAAATTATAAAACAACTCATTTAATTTTTTAAAAATTGCATTTCTGAATAACTGGTATATTAATTTAGAGAAAATTGAGAGCCATAATGTTTTAAATAGTACCCCAACTCAGTAGCTCACAATTTATACCCAGGCACTCTTTGACCAACATACATCTATGCAATCACTTGGAGTATTTGAGCAGTTAGCTAATTTTGAATTTTAACATCAAATTGTCCTTCTTTCCAAACTATCAATATTTGTGAGTGTTTGTGTATCTCCCAAACAATGTAAGTATGAGTCTCCCTAGCATGTGTTTGGAGGGGAGATGTTTAGTGTGTCTACTGGGATTTACTTCCTAACCACAGTTTTTTTCTGAGTAACAGAGTGAGAATGAAGAGTTGCTTCCACTAGCTGGGGCTAATATGAGTCAGGAGATATTTACACCAGGTAGATGCGTTGACCGGGATGAGGAAGAAGGGCTGAGGCATCAGGCAACATGAGCTCAAGTTCTCACTGGAATAAAGATAAAGAAAGGACCTTTATCTCTGTACAACCCAACTGACACTAACATCAATTTAACAACTATCAGCCTAGGAGAAGGGTTAGGATTGTGCTCGTGCAGGATTTCTGGGGACTAGGCTTGCCAGGGAATCCATTATCTCCTTCCCATTTCTCCTCAGAGCTCTCACATCTCAGGCTTCTTTCTCCCTTAAATGAGGGTGTAGGAATTGAACAGAAGTTGGTTCTCTGATACTACCACCTAGAGAAACGACAAACTACTGCATCGTGAAGAGCTAACATCCCCATCCCCATCAGCAATATTTAATTAGATGGATACAGGGTGAAGAATCAGGATCAAGACAGTCAGAGCCAGGCCAGTCTTAATACTGCCTCTCCTGTGAAACTTCCCAAGGAACAGTCCTCAAATTCGGCCTCACATTGACTTCATTATTTATAATGCCATCCTCTACGCCTGATCCATCATCAAGACCTGTTGAGGTTTTCTTGGTTAAAGTTCTTGAAAACCTCCCTTCTTTTTCAGTTCCCTGTGCTCTTTTATAACTACGGTATCCTCCCTTCCAGATCTCCACTTCTCCAGGTCATTTACATATAGCTAGCATAATAATCTTTCTTATTTGTCGTCGTATTATTCCCTACCTAAGTTTTACTGAGAGATAGAAACAAACATTGGAACAAATGGAGAGATTAAAAAATCAATTGTTTCATGACAAGTGATGGGATCCTCATTTATCCATGAGATAGTCCTTCTCCCAATTTTTTTGTCCCACTTGTACATATAAACTTTAAGGGATATAGGGAATTCCCTGGCAGTCCAGTGGTTAGGACTCTGTGCCTTCACGGCCAAGGGGGCCCGAGTTCCTTCCCTGGTCGGGGAACTAAGACCCTGAAAGTCGCATGGCACGGCCAAGGCCAGAAAAAAAAAAAAAAAAAAAAAAAAACTTTTAGGGATATAGATGAAATAACCATAAATCTATTACTTATTTATATTATATTATATTATATTAAATACCCTCACTACTTAAAATCACAAATAAGAAATTTTAGATTGATGAACTTAAAATATTTCTTTTTCTCATCAGTGAAGGAAAAAATAATTTAAACTCTTTCCATTGCAACTTCTACATGGTATCTTTGTCACGGTTAGAGCTCCTTTTTATCATCTCACAAAAACAGATGTGCATGGCTCTCTCTCTGGGGGAACTTTACTTGAGGAGGAAGGTAACAGAAAACCTAAAGGAGGCTCTGAGGGGAGATCAGGAGGAAGAAACTAAGTCTCCGGCTCAAAACTCCTGTGCAGACAGTGCTTGGATAAGGCATTTCCTGGCCCCAGCCTCCTGGGTCTGATACACCACCTCAGTGCTCACTTAGACGTTACATTTTGTTTGGGAAGCCAAAGGAATGTCCTGATTTTTACTAGTTCCATCCATGACTCTTTACCTTAACTTACAGAAGATGCTGTGACATATCCATTCTTCTTAATCTCAGTCTTTACCCCGTCAGCTGAGTATAAATGGCTTTGAGACCTTTCCCCAGTAAGAAAATCTCCAGAATCCCCCAAGAAAAAACAATGTTCCTTTTACCATAACTGTAATAATCGTCAATCTTAGAACACTCAAACAGAATAGCCTTGGCTGCACGGACCAGAGGCAGAGGCCTGGGCCACTTGGTCTGTGGGGGAACCCAGGCCCCACCAGGTGGGAGGAACTAAATTGGAGTGTGAGAGGTGCCCCCCGCGGGTCCCAGATGCACCTGGATGAACCCACAGTATTTTCTTTATTGCCGTGGAGCCTGAGAGGATTACCAAAGTGTGTCTGGTGAAGTAGGGCCAGGGGACCGGGGTTGGGGAGATTAGGGACAGTGGGTTAAACTAGAGATGAGGGAGGTTTAGAGAGGCCTCTGCCACTGTGACTGTGAGCCCTGGTCGACAATGAGGTGACCACTGTGCAGTCCGCATCCTGGAAATCAGGTGATGGAGTGTGTTCTGAGAACCGACTGAGACTGGGAAAAAAAGAGAAAAGAAAGCCTTGATGTTGCTCTTTTCATGTAATTACAGTACAATGTCTGTGGGTCTACTTCTAGATATAATAATTCAAACCTAATGAGAGTTTACTGAACAAGTCTCTATAGCCAATATATTATCATTCTCCTCTTTTACAGGAGAAAGTGGGTTGTCATAACGTTACAGTGAGTGTAATTTTGTAATGATGGAGTGAGAAAATCACTTTCCTACCACCCTAGCATGCTCCTACAGACACTTAAAATGGAGCTTTAAATTGAAGTGGGCTATAAGTAATTCAAACATACATGTTCTCTGCCCTAGGAATACCTGCTGTGAATCTAAGTTTGTGGAACCATCAGACCACACGGTGCAAGAGACCATGGGTTTCAGAATCAGACACACCTGAATTAGCAACCAGGCTCTGTCACTTACTAGCCGTGTGACCCTGGGTGAGTTACTTAATCTCTCTAAGTCTCAGGTTCTTCATCTGAAAACCAGGAATAGTGCTGACCTACCAGCGCTGTTGTTTTTCCTGGAAAAGTAACTGAAAAATTCTGCTTATTTGTCCAACTTCCTTTCCCTCTCTGCAAATAAAGGCCAAGGAGGGCTTCCCTGGTGGCACAGTGGTTAGGAATCCGCCTTCCAATGCAGGGGACACGGGTTTGAGCCCTGGTCCAGGAAGATGCCATATGCCACGGAGCAACTAAGCCTGTGTGCCACAACTATTGAGCCTGTGCTCTAGAGCCTGCGGGTCACAACTACTGAACTTGCATGCCACAACTACTGAAGCCCACGAGCCTAGAGCCCATGCTCCACAACAAGAGAAGCCACTGCAGTGAGAAGCCTGAGCACTGCAACAAAGAGTAGCCCCTGCTCACTGCAACTAGAGAAAGCCCACATGCAGCAACAAAGACCCAACCCAGCAAAAACTAAATAAACTAAATAAATAAATTAAAAAAAAAAAAAGGCCAAGGAATAAGTAGTGTATGCCAAGTGCCAATGCCCAATTAATTGCAGATATATTTTCTTTCCCCTCTGGAAGAATGTTGTTTGTCTTTCATTAACAACTATAGCTGCGTTTAAAATAAGATATCCTCAAGTGTTAAAACCATATAAAACTTTTTTTTTTTAACTTTTGGCTGAAAATGACAACCACTCAATTATACACGTTTAATGTAAAAGGGTTCAAACAAAATAACAATACAGTGACAAAATGACATGGAAACTGTATTTCTTTTTTTCAAAAGAAAAAAAGATCAATCACACATGCGTCAAACAGAATACAAAATCAAGGTAATAGACAATACTAAAAATTTTACTTTAATTATAACTGAAAAACTAAAATTAAAAAATCCAAGTTTCAAAATTTTCTAAAGAATATATATAACTGCATAATCAAATGATTTTTTTTTGCTTGAATAGGATGTACAACCATTTTTTAAAACAGTGGACATAAACATTGAATATTTAAAAGATTGCATATCCTACATTTTAGTTAAAAATTGAAATTAAAAATAATGTAATATTCAAAAAATGAGAATATTTTGCTATTAAACTATTCCACTGCCAGAGATAAATTCTGATCTGAAATGATGGCCCTGGGAAGTTGAGTCAAGCCAGTTGATTACATCCTGTGAATTCCCCTCTCTCTGGCCCCCAAATCTGGGCAGGGCTAGGATTTTGCTCTGGCTTTGATCCTATTGGGGGTGACGGAGGCAACAGAAGCTGTCTCTCTAGGAAATTCTTGATCCTGGCCCTTCTCTGATTTAGAAACAAACTTCAACCGGGTTAGGTGAAGGTATCAGAGAAAAAATGAAAAATTCTACTCTCTGCTGACTCTCCTGAAAATGTTCACATTGTCTCAGTCAAGCTATAGCACAATAAAGAGACATTTTGCTTCAAAATCATGTATTGATAAATATTTATTGCATATACCTGAGTTGGATATTGTCTGCCTTATGTATCACATTATGTTGATCTTAGATACACAACTCCATCGGTGTTTGTCCTAAAAAATCTTCAGTTAATGTTCGAATGTGTCACTAAAAGTTTTTATTTCAATTTTAGAATTTCATTTCATTGGTGGAGAGTAATTCATGAGTTTAAACATCATTTGGTGGAAAATAATTTACATATATATTACTTTTTCCATTTTAATGGCTTTTTTCCCAAAGCCTGCCCCAATATTTGAACTTGTCCTTGGTAGTTATTTAAGATACAGTGAGGGTTCCAGGACACTGAAGCCCTGGGTCCAGACCGTAGTGATTAGAGACACATTTTGAGATTTCTTCCCAGCTCTCTTCTTGAAGAACACCTCTCTCCCTCGGCCAACTAGAGCACCAGCCCTGGGCCCTTCGTTCCTATGTTTATACCAAATAAACCCAACCCTCCTTGATTAGATAAAAGGTGGACACCTGATCCATGAACCAGACAAGTCTGATTATTTTTCTCTTGAGAATTTGAACTGAGAGACACAGGCTGGGGGTCAGGTGCCAGGTGGTCATTAGAGCTTCAAGGTCTTGTGGAATGAGAGGCTATGACAGTTATTAAGGGCCATGCATGCGAGGGGCTCACACAGAGAGCCAGTCTGCAGGGAGAGACTGGACAAGGCAGGGGAAGCAAAATGTAGGTGAGAGAACTTGCAACCTGAGAACAGCTGCATTGTCCTGAAGCCTTTTCAGTTTCCAAGTCTAATTCCCCATGGGACTCGACTCTCCTTCCTGTCTTGAATCCCATGAGGAGCTGCTGTATAATAAATCCTCATTTACGTGTAGTAGCTGGAGAGAGGTTCTGTTCCTTGCAACCAAATGAGCCCTAAGACCAAGTGAAGCCTTATTGTTTTAGAAATTCTACATGTTTCACTCCATGGACAGCAAGGGAGCATTTGATAATGGCATCTTCTTTGAAATACTTCCACCAAAGAGTTGCGGATTCACTCTTCTGAGACTGATGACATTTACAACTCAGTGTTAATTACGCTGTTGGATTAGATATCTATGGCCTTAGAGAAAATCAGACCATCATATTTTATAACTTAATTCCTTTGTAGAGAGTGGCTTGTAAAATTATGGCTCGCTTTACATTTGCCCTACTCTTTCCAATGTGAAGATGCTCCATTTTCCTTGAAGAAGAACAGCAGCTATTGAAAGTCTTTGCCTCCTCCTGGCATCTGTTAACGTTTACCATCTTCCCCAAGCAGTAGGCCTGTTCTCTTCATGGTGATTTTCTCCTTCTAAACGAGTTCTGAGGGCCTTAGCATTTTTGTCGAGCTTCAACTTATTTGGGACCTAGCAAAGGACTATTTCTGATAGAAAGCCAGTTCATTTACCTTTTAACCCAAGGGATAGGTAAAAGTAAAATGAACTTGGGGAGATACAGAAATAGGAGAATGAAAAATACATGATAAAAATAATTGTGGTAAAGAGATGAGTTAAGAATTCACCTTGTGGGGAAAATACACATGACTGCATAGGTTCTGAAGAAGTCCTTAGAGCCAAATGGAATAGCTTGAAATTTCCTATGTGATCATTTGCCTTCACTTGGACATTTCTACAAAAAACGGTCTCTCACAGCCAAGGTGTGTGCTATTTTTAACAGCCATGATTAGGATGCTTCCAACCTTGTCCTGGGGGAAACAGTCTACTCTCTCTCGCTCTACTTCTCTTATTAATGAATAATAGTATAGCAAGAGCAGGAAATGTGATGGTTACAAACAGGTTCTAAAGCCAGACTGCCTGGTTTTGGACTCCAGCTCCACCACTGAACAGCTGTGTAACCTTGCGAGTTACTTAACCTCTCTGTGCCTCTCTGTGTTTTAATATGTAAAATGGGAGAATACTGGCACCTAACTCACAAGAAGGATGTAAGAAGTAAATGAGTCCTGCTGTATTGTATGTGCTCCAGGAAGTCAGCTGTCATTGTGAGGGTTGTCGTTAGTATTATTTGAGCAGGTAAAGCCTAGGCGGTATGAGAGAGAATGGAAAGTTGAGTCGTAATCTCCCATCAGGAGTTTACTCTTTCTACTGGATGACATAAGTGAGGGGAGCCAGGGCCATGAAGTCAGGCTTTACTTCTTCTTTTTCTGTTGATTTTATTTATTTATTTATTTTAACATCTTTATTACACTACAATTGCTTTACAATGGTGTGTTAGTTTCTGCTTTATAACAAAGTGAATCAGTTATACATATACATATGTCCCCACATCCCCTCCCTCTTGTGTCTCCCTCCCACCCTCCCTATCCCACCCCTCTAGGTGGTCACAAACCACCGAGCTGATCTCCCTGTGCTATGTGGCTGCTTCCCACTAGCTATCTATTTTACGTTTGGTAGTGTATATAAGTCCATGCCACTCTCTCACTTTGTCCCAGCTTACCCTTCCCCCTCCCTGTGTCTTCAAGTCCATTCTCTACATCTGCGTCTTTATTCCTGTCCTGCCCCTAATTCTTCAGAACCATTTTTTGTTTTTAGATTCCATATATATGTGTTAGCATACGGTATTTGTTTTTCTCTTTCTGACTTACTTCACTCTGTATGACAGACTCTATGTCCATCCACCTCACTACAAATAACTCAATTTTGTTTCTTTTTATGGCTGAGTAATATTCCATCGTATATATGTGCCACATCTTCTTTATCCAGTCATCTGTTGATGGACACTTAGGTTGCTTCCATGTCCTGGCTATTGTAAATAGAGCTGCAATGAACATTTTGGTAAATGACTCTTTTTGAATTATGGTTTTCTCAGGGTATATGCCCAGTAGTGGGATTGCTGGGTCGTATGGTAGTAGTTCAAACAACCCAATCCAAAAATGGGCAGAAGTCTTAAATAGACATTTCTCCAAAGAAGATATACAGATTGCCAACAAACACATGAAAGAATGCTCAACATCATTAATCATTAGAGAAATGCAAATCAAAACTACAATGAGATATCATCTCACACTGGTCAGAAGGGGCATCATCAAAAAATCGACAAACAATAAATGCTGGAGAGGGTGTGGAGAAAAGGGAACCTTCTTGCACTGTTGGCGGGAATGTAAATTGATACAGCCACTATGGAGAACAGTATGGAGGTTCCTTAAAAAAACTAAAAATAGAACTCCCATAGGACCCAGGCTTTACTAGCCCTCTGACCTTAGCCAAATGACTTAACTTCTCTAAGCCTTGGCTCGCTTACCTAAAATTGGGCATAGTAATAGGGGCTACCACATCACAAGTGCTCACAGTTAGTTATATATATGGTGCAGAGCAGGATTTAAGTACCAATATAATACAATATCCATTGTCATAAGAAAACACAATAAGGATTTTGAAAATGAGGAATGCTGCCTCAGCTTCCCCAAAGTAACTGACAATGGACAGAAACACAGAGTAAAGCAAAGCCAAGTTCACTTGACCACCTGTGGTCTGTACAGGCCTGCCACACAATGCTCTCCTCTTAGCCCCACCCTAAGAAAGGAAGTAGGAATAGCCAATGAATTTTTTATGTCTTTTTTTTCCTTTTACCTGCTTTAAGATTTTGTCTTTGATCTTACCAGCATCATCTAGGTGTGGTTTCCTTTGTATACATCCTGCTTGGGATTCATTATGCTTTGCCTCTCCCGTTGCGGAGCACAGGCTCCGGACGCACAGGTTCAGCGGCCATGGCTCATGGGCCCAGCCGCTCCGCGGCATGTGGGATCCTCCCGGACCGGGGCACAAACCCGCGTCCCCTGCATCGGCAGGCAGACTCTCAACCACTGTGCCACCAGGGAAGCCCCCATGGCGCTTTTTAAATCTGGCTTGATATTTTTGCAAATATTTTGGAAAATTCTCAGCCATTATCTCTACATACCTTTACTCTGCCTCATTCTCTTTGTCCTGATGTCTCTCTCCTTCTAGGATTACGATTACATATGTTTTAGACTTTTTCACCTGTCCCAGATGTCGCTCACACTCTTTTGTATATTTTCTAACCGTTTGTCTCTCCATGATTCAATCTAGATGTTTTCTTCTGACTCATCTGATTCTTTTTCAACTGTATCTAATCTGTTATTTAAACCTATTCATTGAATTCTTAGTATCAGTTATTGTGTTTTCAATTCTAGAATTGCCTTTTTTTAACTTTTATTTTCATTCCCCGTTCTCTGCCAAATTTCTCAAGCCAGCCTTTTAATTTCTTAAACATATTAATCCTAATTTTCAAAAATTCTATTGAATAACTCCAATGTCCATACTCCCTGCAAGCCTGTTTCTATCGTCCTCTGTTTTTCTTTCAGTCTTATTTTTATACGCTTGATACTTTTGAATTGATAGCCAGACTTTGATATAAAACGTTCAGAGATGATTTGTGGCCACAGGTGATGCTGTCTTCCTCCAGAGAGGGTTCGTTTGGCCTCTGGCGGGCCGCTGGGCTACAGCGGTAGCAGGTAGAGATCACCTAATCAATTAGGCTCTGACCTTTGTGAGGCTAGTCTGTAGCCAGCATACTCATACTCTTCAGGTATACCCCTCTGAGATTCCAAAAGAACATCTGGGGGGTTGCCCAGGTCCCATCCTCCCCGGCAAGCTCTGAACTCTAACTTTTCTTCCCCCAACCATACAACTGCTGAGAGCTCCGCTCGGGGTCCTACCTCTCAGCTCCCACTTTTAGAATTGACATTTGCCTGAAGAAGCGAAGCGGGGAATTTCAGGCTTATTTTTGGGGGGTTCCCTCTGTTCCCATGTCCAGACCCCTCTAACCCAGTTCCTTACCACCTAGGTAGCTTTTCTAATTCTTGAAGAGAGGGTTGGTTCAAAACATTCTAGTTCACCATTGCTAGAAGGAGAACTCTTGACTATGCTTTTTTTGAAAATCTGATGATCTTACTCTTCATATTTCAAGCAGCATGCAGATTTCTAAAAAAATAATATTAATAAAGTGATAAAGTTCCAAACAGCTTGCCAAATAAACCTTTAGTGGAGAAAATGAGTTTTAAAGACATAGGTAGGTCAATGGAAAAAGATGGAAGCATCCCTAAGGAGATCCAAATCTTTACCACAGATGGTAAGGCCAACATATTCCTTCAGGTTATAAATCACATTATCTATACCTTGAGGAATCTTGTGTGACCCCTTTAGTTTCCAGGATGTTACTAAATTCCTCGGGAGTCTTTATTCCTGCCCTATTCGTTTTTTTGTTTTTGTTTTTGATTTGGACATCTTAAAAAATTATTTATTTACTTATTTATTTATTTGAAGTGTAATTGATTTACAATGTTTTCATTTCTGCTGTACAGCAAAGTGATTCAGTTATACATATATACACATTCTTTTTTAAATATTCTCTTCCACTATGGTTTATCATAGGATATTGAATACAGTTCTCTGTGCTATACAGTAGGACCTTGTTGTTTATCCATTCTATATATAATAGCTTACATCTGACCCATGAGGGTTTTTTTTTTTTTTTCGGTACGCGGGCCTCTCACTGTTGTGGCCTCTCCCGCTGCGGAGCACAGGCTCCAGACGCGCAGGCTCAGCGGCCATAGCTCACGGGCCCAGCCGCTCCGCGGCATGTGGGATCTTCCTGGACCGGGGCACGAACCTGTGTCCCCTGCATCGGCAGGCGAACTCTCAACCACTGCGCCACAAGGGAAGCCCCTGACCCATGAGGTTTTAATCTCCTCTCTCCTAGCCCATCCTAAGGTTACTTTTGGTGAGTAAAACAGATTGATTCATTACCATACAAAAGGCAAGAGCATGGTGACAATAATCTGTTTTACAGGTTTGCGGGGCGGTGGGGGGGGTGGGGGGGGGGGGCGTTTGAGAAAAGAAAACCAAATTAAATGACTGTAAGGGATGAAGCTGTTTTCAATCCCAGACTGAAAGGTTGGATAGGACTTAGATGTACCACAGTACAACACACATGAGAGTTATGCAATAGATACCTGTTGAATTATTTATTGAAAAAAATAAATCTCTCTTCTAGACTATAAAGAAATTTGAGTTGATTTCACCAAGGGTTGACATGAGCTGAGAGGACATCTCCCGCCAGGCAGGGAGCATTTGGCGCTGCTCCTAGAAACTGAACCTGGATATCAAATCCAGACGGTGCTTTCTTTTCATTCTTTTGAGTTGGTATGTGTCACTTTCATCTTTATTTCATTAAAATAATAAACTCTTTATGTCTCTAGTCCAGGTGAATCCTTCCCTCTCCGTGAGCTTCAATTGGCTAGTCTGTTGGCAGAATTCATACCTGTTGTTGAAAGACAGGAGGTCTTCTGCTTCCAGCCTCTATTACAGTAAGAGATAGGAAATCCCTGTGGCAAAAAACAAACAAACAAACAAAAAACTGATGTGCTCATAATAATGCAGAAATGGTCGGCATTCCTTTCCATCCCAGATGCTACGTCAGGAGACAGAGGAGCAGACACTCCATGGCTTTATATTTAGATAAAGCATGAGCATTGGACAGTGATCCAGGTCATAATGTTGGAGTGATACCTCCTAATCAGGCTTACTTTTCCTAACAGCAACCATTCATTGAAGGTTTTCTACATACTAGGCACTGTAATGATGTCATGATATTTTATTTTATTTATTTTTTTTTTTGCGGTACATGGGCCTCTCACTGTTGTGGCCTCTCCCGTTGCGGAGCACAGGCTCCGGATGCGCAGGCTCAGCGGCCATGGCTCACGGGCCTTGCCACTCCGCGGCATGTGGGATCTTCCCGGACTGGGGCACGAACCCGTGTCCCCTGCATCGGCAGGTGGACTCTCAACCACTGCACCACCAGGGAAGCCCGGCATTATATTTTAACTGATTATATTTTCACAGTAACTCTGCAAGACACATGTTGGTTGTTTTATATTCTTTAATGAGATGGTCAGTCAGGTGAGGCCACAAGAGGAGTCAGGGGAGAGGCTGAGGAAGAAACAAAGTTTATTATACTCACAGGTCCTAGAGGCAGGAGGCACACCAAGCAGGGCCATGTGGAAAAAAACAGGGTGATCAGAAGGCAGAAAACCGGATGGGGGGTGGGGAAGCACTTAAGCTACTTCAGTGAGGTTTCCATGGGAAATGCAAAGCAGGGCGGGGTAAACAGTTTAGGATTAGTGAGTGTGAATAATGTCATTTGGCTCTGGCCTATAAGGGTGGTCCCTAGTTGTCTGGCACCTGGCCCTGGGATGATTAAGGCAGAGGAATATTGCCTCTGTACATGCCAGATAGAAGAGATAGGGCTCTGGATAGGTTAGCTTGCATAACAAAGCCATGCTCCAGGCTGGGCCTTTTGCCATCTCTAAGAATCAGCTAGCCCAGGGAGGGGCAGTCTCTCTGTAGCTAGAATGGTTTCTTCTGATGTCAAAACATCATAATATACAAGAAATTATGTATATACAATATCTTAGTATTCCTATGTAACAGAAGAGGAAATTGAGGTTCAGAGAGGTTCATTTAGAGCTCAACTGGTATTTATCAGAGTAAGATTAATTTTGAAGCCTGAATGACCGTTAATTGCTATCCTGCATTAATTTTTATCTTAAGTTCTTCCAAGTCATAGTATTTCTAGATATGCATTTAGAAAAATGAGACAATACTGCTAGAGTGATTTGATTTCTTTGATGGATTATTTTGCAAATTAATTAGTTAATATGCACAGTTATCAGAGTTGAAGACACTCTGTAATTAAAAACATTCATCTACCGATATTCTTCAACTGTTCAATTTTAACAAATTTTATATTTCATGTTATTTGCACTGGGGAGTAGGGCTTTGCTCATTCAATAGACCATATAGCTTGAGCTGTATAGTGTTTTGTTTTCTCCAGCTGGGACAGAGCAAGTAAAAATGGTCTTCACTGGGACTTCCCTGCTGGCACAGTGGCTAAGAATCTGCTTGCCAATGCAGGGGACCCAGGTTTGAGCCCTGGTCTGGGAAGATCCCACATGCCGTGGAGCAACTAAGCCCGTGCACCACAACTACTGAGCCTGCATGCCACAACTACTGAAGCCCATGTGCCTAGAGCCTGTGCTCTGCAACAAGAGAAACCACCGCAATGAGAAGCCCGCACACCACAACAAAGAGTACCCCCCACTTGTCGCAACTAGAGAAAGCCCACACATAGCAATGAAGACCCAATGCAGCCAAAAATTAATTAATTAATTTCGAAAAAATGGTCTTCACTGATTTAGGTTATATATAAGGAACTTTCCAACAAACAGCTGAGAGGTCTTGGAATTGTATTTTGCATCTACATTTAGGAAAAGGCAATCTATGCTATGGGAGACAGATTTTACTGTTTGAACAGAAGGGGCAAAAGTAAACTGTTATAAAGAATGTGAACTACAAACATACAGGTAAGATAGTACAATTCGAAATTTAAAGAACTCCTAGGAACAACTCAATCTTAGAAGTAGGGAAAAAGAAAACTTTGATGAGAAATCCTAAAATAACAAACAAGTAACTAAGCTACAGCTTTTAGATCAAGCCTAAATCTTAATAGTTGGGAGACTATATATATATATATATATATATATATATATATATATAGTGTGTGTCTGTGTGTGGTACACGGGCCTCCCACTGTTGTGGACTCTCCCGTTGCGGAGCACAGGCTGCGGGCGTGCAGGCTCAGCAGCCATGGCTCACGGGCCCAGCCGCTCCGCGGCATGTGGGATCTTCCCAGACCAGGGCACGAACCTGTGTCCCCTGCATCGGCAGGCAGACTCTCAACCACTGCGCCACCAGGGAAGCCCAAGACTATATTTTTATCATTTTATTTATTGAATTTACTTTGGTCCTGCTTCTTTCCAAAATGGACTTGGAGAAAAGCCTAAAGGTATGGCAATATAAAATAAGGGTAATAAAAGAAAACTCTGTTTCTTCCTACTCACAACACTTCTGATACCAAATGTGTGGGTTTTCCATGCCAAGCAGTTCTCCAGTTCTCTGTGACACCAGCTGGGTGTCCTACAATTTAATTCATTATGACACTAACTATCCAGATTTAGCACAAATTCCACAAGTTAAGGGCTCAGTCCCCTAAGAGTGCCCCCACTTCAGACACCAGTCACAAGTCCCACGTTATCACTGGTATTTCTGACTAACAGGCTCTAAACCAGAGGTTCCCATGACCCTCTCCTTGAGTTCCATACTTTGTTAGAATGGCTCACAGACTCAAAAAAATACTTTACTTACTATTACCAGTTTATTATAAGGAATACAACTCAGGAACAGCCAAATGGAGATACACAGAGCAACATATGTGTGAACAGGTGAGGAGTTTCATGCCCTCTCCAGACCACCACCTCCTGGTATGTGAATGTGTTCAACAACCTGGAATCATTCTGAACCAAGTCCTTTAAGACTTCAGTGGAGGCTTCCTTACATAGGCATGGCTGATTAAATCTTTGGCCATTGGTGATTAATTCAGTCTCTGGCCCTTCTCCCCTCCTGAGAGGTCTTGGTGTGGGGCTGAAAGTTCCAACCATCTAATTGCACAGTTGGTTTCTCTGGCAAACAGCCCCCATCCTAAGGCTACCTAGGGTCCCATGGAGAGTCACCTCATTAACTTAAAAACAAGAATGGTCAAAAGACTTATTATGAATAAGAAAAGACATTCCTCTCACCCTTATCATTCAAGTAATTACAAAGGTTTTAGGGTCTCTGTGCCAGAAACCAGAACAAAGACCAAATATATATTTCTTATTATATCACGTTAGGTAATAAAACAGAAAGAGAAAATCGGGACTAGTGAAAGAAAAAAAAAGAGCACACATGCTAATACACCTCAAGAATTTAAATAACTCTTGTGGCAGAGTTTAACTCAGAGAGACTGGTTTAAGATGGCAGAGTAGAAGGACGTGTGCTCATTCCCTCTTGAGTGACCATTGGAATAACAACTAACTGCTGAACAATCATTGACAGGAAGACGCTAGAACTCACCAAAAAACATACGCTACGTCCAAAGACAAAGGAGAAGCCTCAATGAGATGGTAGGAGAGGCACAATCACAATAAAATCAAATCCCATAACTGCTGGGTGGGTGACTCACAAACCGGAGAACACTTATACCACAGAAGTCCACCCAATGGAGTGAAGTTTCTGAGCCGCACATCAGGCTTCCCAACCTGCGGGTCCAGCAACATCAGGAGGAATTCCCAGAGAATCAGACTGTCAATACTAGCGGGATTTGATTGCAGGACTTTGACAGGACTGGGGGAAACAGAGACTCCACTCTTGAATGGCACACACAAAGTAGTATGCACATCAGGACCCAGGGGGAAGGAGAAGTGACCCCACAGGAGACTGAACCAGACCTATGGGCTAGTGTTGAAGGGCCTCCTGCAGAGGCAGGGGGTGGCTGTGGCTCACCCTGGGGACAAGGACACTGGCAGCAGAAGTTCTGGGAAGTAATCTTTGGCGTAAGCCCTCCTGGAGTCTACCATTAGCCCCACCAAAGAGCTGGGTAGGCTCCAGTGTTGGGTTGCCTTAGGCCAAACAACCAACAGGGAGGGAACTCAGCCCCACCCAACAGCAGATAAGCAGATTAAAGTTTTACTGAGCTCTGCCTACCAGAGCAACACCCAGCTCTACCCACCACCAGTCCCTCCCATCAGGAAGCTTGCACAAGCCTTTAGATAGCCTTGTCCACCAGAAGGCAGACAGCAGAAGCAAGAACTACAATCCTGCAGCCTGTGGAATGAAAACCACACTTACAGAAAGTTAGAAAAAACAAAAAGGCAGAGGAATATGTACCAGAGGAAGGAACAAGATAAAACCCCAGAAAAAAAAAAAAAAACTAAATGACATGGAGATGGGTAACCTTCCAGAAAAAGAATTCAGAATAATTATACTGAAGATGATCCAGGACATCAGAAAAACAATGGAGACAAAGATGGAGAAGATGCAAGAAACGTTTAACAAAGACCTAGAAGAATTAAAGAACAAACAAACAGAGATGAACAATACAATAACTGAAATGAAAAATACTAGAAGGAATCAATAGCAGAATAACTGAGGCAGAAGAACGGATAAGTGACCTGGAAGACAGATGGTGGAATTCACTACTGTGGAACAGAATAAAGAAAAAAGAATGAAAAGTAACGAAGAAAGCCTAAGAGACCTCTGGGCAACAT